ACTGGCATTTTTGGTTTATGTTAGAGTATGTTAGCTGAAATATCTTGAATTCATAGAATTTAAGTGATCAGGTATCAGTTTAATGCATGCACAGAAACTTACAGAGATGAATTGCTTGGATATTTGTGTAGATGCAGCTTCTGAAATTCTGTGGAAATACTATTCCAGTTTCTCCATTTTTGACAGTTGTGCCACTGTTTTCAAAGAGTATAGATACTGATGTTGACTATTGCCTATTTAATCATGTGTACTTAGAGAACCCTGGAGAGAGCTGTAGCAAAGGGAAGGGAGGGACTTACCAAAGCCTGTTTTCATAGCATCTGACATCAGCTTAAGTTGCTTTCAATGGGTCACAGAACTAGCTTATAGGAATCAGTCTTGGAGTTCCTGGTTTGGCGTATTACTCTTTGGCACAGCATAAGGGTCCCAGGAAGTGAGGGGGGTTTTAATAGGCAGGTCCTTCTCATTACTGAACCTTCTCTGGGGAATGCAGTGGGAATTCTCCACCTTTTTGGTTTTTTTGTTCAGGTTTTGAGACCAGATATCACTAGTTCAGGCCAGCTTCAACTTAGAGTCCTGGTTCAATCCTCCCAAGTTCTGAAAGCACAGGCATGTGCCACTGTACCCAGTTCTCTTGTGGGGTTCTTGCTTGGTTTTGGCACAATTGTGTATGAAGAAGGAGGGCAGGAGTAGGAACATTTTCAAGGAAAAAAAAAAATGAATAAGTCAGTAAGAGTTTTAAAACAACTATAAGAGGCCTAAAATAACATCTTTATTTCCTTCTTAAGATAGGGTCTCCAGAACTCTGGAGCTCAGGCTGGCCTGGTACTCTCTGATAGGCCAGGTTAGTTTTGAACTTTAGGCTCCTTTGCCCTGCCTTTCTAGTGCTAGGATTATAGTGTGCATGAAGTTTAGTCTCCTGGGTTAGTGGTTCTCAACCTGGTGGTCACCTAAGTAAGACCTTTGGAAAGCAGATGTTTACATTATCATTCATAACAGCAAAATTACAGCTATGAAGTAGCAATGAAAATAATTTTATGGCTAGGGTCACCACAACAAGAGGAATTGTATTAAAGGGTCTAGCTAATTCAGATGCTACTGGAGAATGATAATCAGGTAGCACTTCATGATTTGAAAGTTGAAGGCTAGGAACCATTGTGGATAAGAGATGCCCTTATTTTCTAAAGAAACCATAGGTAATCAGAGGTAGCCCTTGTTCAAGGTCATGTAGCCACAAGATTAAGGAGGCAACAGTTTATCCCATAGGAGAGGTTGGCTCAGGGAAACTGTCCTCCCAGTATAGATACTGAGCCTAGAAACAGCCCTGTAGTATTTAGGGTTAAATGAATAAGCTTTGAAAAGTGAGCACAATACACATGAAGTCAGCTGAGGCTGGCTGGGGTAAGTAGTGTTGGTGGCATATTTGATCAGAGATCAGTAAAGGCTGATAGCATGATTTAAGGTGTTTCCCCACTACCACCTTAGGTGTTAGGCTTGAGCATGATGGAAGCTGTTCTAAATCTGAACACTAACTCAGTGTTAAAGCATGGCAAGGTGAAGGCTCCTGCTGTCAAAGATTACAGACACATCTTAGTGCATAGGGGTAAGGATGGTCAGAGAGATTTTAGTCTATCTCTCAGCCCTTTGTTTGAGACGAGGACTTTATGTAGCCTATCCTAGAACTCTGCATAGACCAGGCTGACCTCAAACTCAGATCCTACTGTCTCTGCCTATTTGCTGGGATTAAAGGTGTGTACCACATCTGGTTTATGGGTAAGATTTTTAAGGCAGGAGGACATGGATTGGATCAGTGCAAGCTTAAAGGTCATGGGGATGAGACTGGCAAGTGAACCAGAGATGGGTAGGCTGGGGTGGTAAGTGTGGGCCTTTGTGAATAGACAGACTGGTGGAGACATGAGGGACCATGGTTAGGAGAGGTCCCCACTGTATGGGCTGCCTTAGGTGTCAGCCTTGTTCATTTTACTGTGGGAGCTGAAACCCAGATTAGCACATACGATTGCTTACAATGGAGCTCTTCTAGTGAGTTTCATATATGAAGTAAATAGTGGTATGTGCTGTTTTTCCTAATGACATTGAAGATGACATGGCCAAAATTTGACAAATAGTGATTTAAAATTATGAAGAAGTGTTAATGAGGAAGTTGGCTAAGGTTCCGAAAAAGCTATCTTTTCAAAACTAAATGTCTTCTATGTATGCACATATTTGTGTGCCGTGTTTGGAGGTCAAAGAACTGTGTGAAGCAAACTGGTTATGCTAGTAGGTAGAGGATTATTTTCAGATTTGATTAAAGATTTAAATACACAGGGTTACAAAAACCCCAGAATGTCAAATGTAAAAATGTCAGCATTATTGACTGTCTTGTCCTTACCTTTTGTTCACACACAGATCCTATTTGAAACATATGTGCTTGTCTGTAGTGTTGTTATACTCTTAAGATTTTTGTCCATCCATCCATCCATCCATCCATCCATCCATCCATCCATCCATCCAAGACAATGTTCTTTTTTAAAGTGTCTTATTTTTGTTTTATTTACATTGATTGGTGTTTTGCCATAGGTGTCCAGTCCCCTGGAACTGGAGTTAAAGACAGTTGTGAGGTGCCATGTGGGTTCTGGGAATTGAACTTGGGTCTTCTGGAAGAGCAGTCAGTGCTCTTAACCACAGAGCCATTTCTCCAGCCCTAAGACACTGTTCTTCGTTTGTTGCTCTGGCTGGTCTAGAACTCACTGTGTACACCAGGTTGGTCTTGAATTCACAGATCACCTGCTACCACCTCCTGGGTGTGGGACTAAAGATGCCACTGTACCTGGCTGTACTTCAATTTTTAAAACTAGATACCTGCTAGGTGGTAGTGGCTCACACCTTTAATCCCAGCACTGGGGAGGCAGAGACAGATACAGGTGGATTTTTGCGAGTGATCTACAAAGCAATTTCCAGCACAGGCTGCAAGACAAACCCTGTCTCAAAAAACCAAAACAAACAAAAAACTAGCTACCCAACAAATAAAATATGATAAGGTGGAAAAGAGTAGAATTTAGAGAGAAAAGGATTCAAATTGTTTTTCTTTGGTTAAGGTCACTATGGGGTTGTAGCCTAAGTTACCCAGTGAAATTATCTCAGAACAGCAAGGTGTTCTGATTGTTATTATACATCTCCCCTTTTTCAGATATGTTTTACTTGTTACTGATGAGTGAACCCAGGGCTTTGCACATGCTAGGCAAGCACTCTGTCGCTGAGTTACAACCCTCCAAAATTGATGTGTAAGAATATAGTTAGAAAGAAATCTATTCCCCTACTTCTAAATGTTCTGTGTATACCACTCAGCTACCATGTTGAAATGGGAGACTGTCCCTGGCAAGCAAGGACTTCGCCCTTGTGACTGTGGGGCCCTTGAAATGTTAGTGCAGCTTGGCATGATAATTGGTTGGAAAGGCGAGGATGTTGTTATCTCTCATGTTTGTGCTATCTGGTGATTTACAGCTAGTGTGCCCAGTTCTCTTTGACCCTTCCTCTCCTCATTTCCTTAGAACTGTGGGTTATAGTAATCTGGCAACTCCTCTGCCCTGCCAGGTAATTCTATTTGTACAGAAGAGGCTTAGAAGTACCAAGACTGCTCCCTAGTTGATACTATTTTAGGCATCAGAAATATAGGGAAATGTCCCACAATTCTGGCTGCTAGCATCATTTGGGACACTTTTATAAAACCCATATGGTCTAGACCCTTTCCAGATACTCCCAGATACTGATGTGTAGTAGGGCCAGAAGTCAGGTGGTGCATGCCTTTAACCCCAGGAGGTAGAGGCAGGCAGATCTCTGTGAGGCCAGTCTGATCTACAAAGTGAATTCCAGCTTAGCCAGGATTGTTTCATAACAAAACCCTGTCTCAAAAAACAAAACAAAACAAAAAGAAAACAGAAAAAGAAAAGTCAGGTGGGTTCTCTTTAGAAATCCCTAAGGAGATTGAGGTGTGCACCCTGCACTAAGATATAGGAGATATACTGAAGAAGAGTTCTGCATACCCCTGTGGCCTCATCTCTGCTAGCTAAAAGAATGGGGCTTTCTACATGCCCTCTGGGGGTTTATCCGAGGATCTCCAGCATTCTTTTCGAGTGAGAAATGCCTTCTACAGACTGGGCTCCTCCTGCTAAACCAGAGATGATCTTGACTGGCTCTTGGTCTTATTCCTTGGGGTACTGGTTGTCAGCCCTTTTAAACCTGTGTTTGGTGTCCAGTTTGGTAAGCTGTGTAACTCGTTTGAAGTTAAATGCTTTGAAATACATAGCAGAAAATGCATACCATTACAAATGTTGTAAGTTACGTTCAACTGCTACTCTCAGAATTTTAAAGTGGGTATAATAATGTATCATTAATTAGTAAAAGTATGGTCATGACCTTAATTTTAAAGCAGTAATAAATGGAGATAATAAGAAAAGATGCTGGGGTCTAGGGTTGTAACTCTGTTAGCAGAGTGCTTGCCTAGTGTACACAGAACCCCATTCTTTTTCTAGCACCACATAAACTGGGTGTGGTCGTGCTTGACTATCATCCTAGCACTCAGGTAGAGGCAGCAGACTCAGCTACATACTGGATCAAGGCCAGCTTTGATTACATGAAACAACCTCAAACCTACCATCACCAACAAAACTATAATGATGTACTATGAAGCAGCTTGTTTGTATTGAAGGCAAAAGTCCCAGTTACTGATAATGCCATAATGGTTTATTACTAGCAGTCACAAAAAACAGTGAAATTTCAGTTTATGAAAACAAGTATTTTTTTTAATACACAAGTAGTATGTTTCATTATGATGTTTTTATGCATGGATATAATATGCTTTTATTCATCACCTCTACTAAACCTCACATTGGAATGATCTTTTATTTGGCATTAACTGAATAATACATTCTCTGCAGAGAAGCAATACAAGACTAGTTTGCCTTTTCAACATGAAAGCTAACAAGAGTGGTTTGTTGTTGCAGGAATATAAGCGCAAGTTAGCCAGAGTTTCCCTGGTTCGCAAAGAACTCAGAGCCCGGATCCAGAGCCTGCCAGACTTATCTCGATTGCCCAATGTCACTGGCAGTCACATGCACCTGCCCTTTGCTGGGGACATCTACAGTGAAGATTGACGGCCAGTCTCCTCCAAGGCCAGGACTTTGCCAGTCATGGAGACAGGTTAGGTGAATAGTCCTGTAGAGTTATTTTTGTACATTGTTGAGAGAACGGTACTAACATTATAAGTGACAAGGAAAATTATAAAATGGTTTTAACGTTGGTTTGTTTACTATTTTATTAAGTTAACGTGACCTAGTTAAAAACACGTGATTTCTGTGTATTAATGAGCTTAAAATAGTGATTATTTTCAAAAGATCTTTTTGGAAGTCTTGTTTTTTTGATCCAAGGCCATGTGAGAAATTCCATGTTTCTATTTCGTCATGCATTTTCAATTGCTTTTCTTTATTTTTTTTTTCAGTATCTAATCACTGTACACTATCTAATTCCTAATGAGAAGAACCGATCAAGAGCTGATGTGAGACTGTATTATGGTATCGTTAGGACTTGATTATAGCAGAGACTAAATGTTGCAACCTCATCTTTACTGTTCTTACCACCCAAACATTGGTTTTGTGTGTCCTTATGCCTTTGAGTTATTTATTCCCTAGAGGTCAGTAACTTATCAATAGACATGGATGTGGTGTTTCCCCATAGCACTACAGTAATTCTATCCCAAATGCCAATCCAGAAGAAAAGGCCTGTTAAATAGACTCCCTTGGTTACACTGTAGAACTAAGTGCATCTAATACTTTGAGAATGTTATAAGTTTTAACACCCTACCCAGAGGCCCAGTACAGCTGACTGCTTCTGTGATGTCAGTCATCTTATATCATTGGTCCCTTTAACAGAACACCAGCTGTGGGGGGTAAAGCAAATGTCAGACAATGACATGCTTATTCCCTCATCCATAGAACATAAAATAGCACTTAGCTTGAGTAGCTCAAGAGCTCAGTATCCATAATGTTCGGTTAAGTATCCTGGAACATTTTATTTACTTAAAGTTTTTGAATAACTGTATATTTGGGAATTAAGCAATGATATATACTACAGGGTAGATGTGGTGAATTTTATACTTGTATGTTTACAGATGTAAATACAAATCAAGGTACCTTTACTCGACCCTGGTGGATTAGAGCAGGTGCATGCTCTCCATCTAGCTTTCTTTTCAGTTACATTGTGAACCTGGAGGTTTGTATTTGATTAATGACAGGGGATTCTTTTTCTCCTTCATTGCTGTGCATTTCTTATTGTAATCAGAATCAAACTAGTTAGTTAATAGAACACCTTTTAAATTTCACCGGCCAATTATATATCGCTACACTGAATGGCTACTCTGTTTCTTTCTCAGTATTAGAGATTACAGTTGAAATGAATTATGTGAAGGAATGGCAGGTAATTTATCTTTAATAACAGTAGATTGGGAAACAGTACTCTTAACAATCTGACCTCTCTACAACACAGTTCCATGTATGGCATTATCCATCCCCTGCATGTCCTATCTTCCAGTGCTTTAGACAATTTTTGGGAGTCAGGATACCTTTCCTCATAGAACCATAGCAGGTTCTCTGTGCACACCGATGCAGCTCAGCTGGGGGCCAAAACCCCTTTACCACGGATGCACTTAACTATACCGTGGCTGAGGAATGGCTCATGGCACATCCTGAGCAGCATTGTCTTGTCACAGCAATGGGTTTGTGAGCAGCAGCCAGACCCTCCCCTGACAGTGGGGCGTCTGCCATTGCTGCTATCTTCTCCCTAGGTGTAGGGATGGAAGCAAGGATTCAGCAAAGGAGGGTGGACAGATGCACAATACACACCCTGGTTGTGCCTGTTTTCAAAGTATGCCAAGTAAGTTAGTTTTTGTTGTTGTTTTTGAAAGCAAAAGTTATGTGTGTTAACTTATTTTCAGTACCGTGAACTTATTTATGATTGCTGACTTGGTGATTTATCCATCTAAAATAGATAAGTTTTTTTTTTCCCATTTAAAGCTAATTTTTAAATGGTGTACTCTTGGGAAGATATAAAATCTTTTGGAAGTTTGCTGAAATATTTTCACCATGAAGACAGACTTAGATACTCTTTTGATGCCAGTATCTGATCTAAATATTTATGATAAAATGTATTATTTTTTTAAGGAGCTTGATGAGATCTGTGATAAATGCTAGTACTCAAAATCCAAATCCCCCAAAACCTCAGTTGTTAGTTCTCACTAACTGAACACAAACTGTACAGTCTGTTCTAGAAGTAAGTCTTCCAGCCTGTAGTTAACATGGTAAGCCTTAGGAGATAGTGTAAGTGGAGTGTGGTGGTTCACACCTTTATCTCAGTACTTGGGAGACAGAAATAGATCTCTGAGTTTGAGGCCAGTCTGTTCTCCAGAGTTCTACAGAGTGAGATTCCTGCCATTAGTTTCATGGTGAGACCCTGCCTTAGAAAAAAAAAAAAAAAAAAAAAAAAGAAAGAAAGAAAGAAAGAAACGGGCTTAGGTGAGGGGTATAAAATACCAAACTCTAAATCATGCACATTTTCTCAACCATGTACCTGAGGCAAATTATGAGTGTGAGAGCAACCTGTCCTGGCCCTCAGGGAAAAGTGACACATTTGCAGCAAGGTCCTGTGCTGTGATGGACACCGTTCCTCTTTTCTCCACAAACAGCGCAGAGAGCTGTCTGCAGTGGCAATTTGAACAGATTTCCCGGTACCCCCTCTGCTCCTGCAACACTACAGTAAGTAAAAGAACCATCGGGGGAGCTGGGAGCCTGGAAAGGAGCTGTGCTCTGTCTGTGCCAGCCTTCCCTGAGGAAAACACCTTGTAGCTGTGAGATAGCTCTTCACAGCGTTCTGAATCAGGGCTTCCCCACGAGAAATTCCTTAGAATCAACAAAAGCTAGGATGGTGCAGCCATTATGATTTTCAGAGTTCAAAGAAAGCCCGCTGTCACTGGCGTGAGCAGCGCCACCACCATGTGTGTTCATGGACTGGTCTGAGAAGTCTGGAGAGGAGAACAGTTTCTGGGAGGCAGGAGGCCCTCCTGAATTCCCATCCTGATGGACAGAATGTGAAGTAACACAAAGCCCTGCTTTCCTGGCTGGTAGGAGTTACTCCTAAAGATGACCTCTCTTCCCAGTTGTGCTCTACAAAGCTGTTAACAGTGAATTCAGCTCTCCTCTGTGTCACTTGATGGATTTGTTTATACAGAGCTTGTGTTGCCATCCACAGTGTCTGAGGTGGCAGGAGCACATGGGAAGAGGATTCTCCCTGTCTTTTACAAACCCTTTTCTTTAGCTGTATCTGACAGTGTAAGATCTTAATAAAGTTTTATGTTCTTTTTGAAGAGTGTGTGTGCTTTTTGTGAATTCAGTTCATTGAATAAAGGACAGGAAGACATGGGACTAAGGGGAAGAGGGAGTTGGCAAAGTCCTGGGAGTGTCAGTGAAGCAGAAACTACAAAAAGGTGTCTGTACCTGGTCCAGACTCTAGGACTGTCAGTATCATTCCAACATTTATTAAATTGCACATGGCTGAGCACCAAATTCTTATCTCAGATATTTAAGCAAGGGCTGGGGAAGTAGCTTAGTGGGTAAGGACCTGAGTTTGATTCCCCAGCACCTGCATGAAAAGCAAGGCATGGTTGCAGGTGCCAGTCCTGGGGGTGGAGATAAGCAGATAGGTCCAGGGGCTCTCTGGCCAGCTAGGAAAGCCAGAATAGCTTCAGGTTTAGTGGGAGACCCTATCTCAAGGCTGTAAGGCAGAGCAACAGAGGAAGAAACTCAGCGTCCTATTCTAGCCTCAGCTTGGGCACATACACTGTGCATACACACACACACACACTAAAATATTTAAGCAATTATGGGTAATGATGAAGTACAGGTTTTACAGTTCATTACATAGTCCCTGGAGGCTGGGGCGGGGGGACGGGCAGAGAATAGACATTTGTTACATGCCCAGCATTGGCTAAGTACTTGCAGGTGGACAGATCAATTAATACCTTAAGTTTTCTGGAGTATAAGCCTCCTTGTGACACCCTGAATTAATTTTTGTTGTGCTAGGGATCAAAGTCAAGGCCCTGTGTAACAGGTAAGGGCTGTAGTGCTAGCTAAACCATACCCTAGTTCCCATGCTTTGGATCTAAAGTAAAATTGGGAGATATTAGAAGTCTGTATTGGTTCCAGTTTTGATAAGCCTCAGCTGTGGCTGGGAAAGTAGTTCAATTGTAGAATGCTTGTAAAAACTAAGGCTCTGGTTAGATCTCTGATATAACACACACACACATAAGTTAAAGTTACTGAAAAAGAACACATATGAATGAAAATGTCCTGATTCTTGCAATCTGTTAAGGCAGGGAGATCAGTCCTTTAATGCTCCTTCCCCCCATTCCTAGATGGTGTTTGACCACTTCATCTAACTTCACATGCTTCCTATTTGCGTTACTCCAGTGGAGCGTAGGTTTTATAAGCTACAGACTCCTATGCCAGAGGCTGCAAAGAGGCAGGCCCAGTGCACATGTGAGGACCCCAAAGGTGTGCATGCCAACTGCACCTTCCCAGTTCTCCTGCCCATTTGTACTTCCTTCATCAGTATCTAATCTTCAGTTCACCAAACTGCCATGCCTTGTACTTTTCCCCTGTTTTTTGTTTGTTTGTTTGATAGGCTTTCTTAAAGAACACAGGCTGACCTAGGGGGTGGGGTCTCCTTGCCTCAGCCTGCCCAGTGCTGGTGTTGGTTTGGACTGCCCTTGATTGCACTTCATTCTGCATTAGCTGGAGCTGTCTTGTCTCTTCCCTTTGTCCGTCTTTATTGTTCCCCTTTCCTCTCCTTCCACCTTCTCTGTTCTAATATTAATTGCTGGATTTGCTCTGCTTGTTTCCTTTCAATCCCCACCTTTAAATCTTAGATAACACGAGAATGTCCACATTCCTTTATTCCCTACCAAGTTGTTTTTGTTTGTTTTTTGGGGGGGGATGGGATGATGGATGTGTAACAGCACAGCAGCTAGAATGAACCGCCAGAGTGAAAGATGGAGATGATTTCAAGTGATGTTTGATGGAGCAGCTTTTGAGTCACACTGAGATAACTACTCAGCTGCACATGTGTCTTCAAATGTCTACAACTAGTGGGAATACAATAATACAGTTTATTTTCAGAATTTAATCTAAGCCAGGGGCTTATTAAATCACATTAGCCTTGTCCAGGAATTTGTTCTTAATGCAAATTATTGGGCCCAGTTTTACAGGGTCATAATATCCAGGGTTAGGGACATGCACCTCTTAAATGAATCCTAGATAATTAAGATTCTTTTAAAAAACTTATTTTTTTAAAAAAAATAAACTTTGTTCTTTTATCTCTCTCTCTCTCTCTCTCTCTCTCTCTCTCTCTCTCTCTCTCTCTCTCTCTGTGTGTGTGTGTGTGTGTGTGTGTGTGTGTGTACACCTGCAGGTCAGAGGTTTTTGAATACCCCAAGAGCTGAAGTTATAGGCAGTGTGAATTGTCTGAAGTTGGTGCTCAGAACACAGTTCAGGTCCTCTGCAAGACCAGTACACCTTAATTGTTTAGCCATCTCTCAGCCCCTGAACATTTTATCCTAAGCATCCAACAACAATCGTGGTCATTTGCTGAAGTGGGATATGTAGCAAATTTTAGAATTATCACATTGGAATTCTGTGTTTCATGGAGAAATACAAAACTGGAATTTTAATTAATTTAAGTAATAATGTGATCCAGAACCATTAGCTAATCCAGCTCAATCTAGATGTTATATTCAGTTCTGTCTTGCTGTGTGTGCTATTGAGGATGGAACCCAGTAATATATGGCTTTCCCCAAATTATACTGTCATCAGTGTTTCACTACAGTTCAGGCTGGCCTTGAACCCAGTCTTCCTAAATTCTGGGATTATGGGCAGGCACCACCATGTCCAGCAAAATCTTTCAGGGACCAAGCTGTTAAATCATTCACAGTGCTATTTGTTGTGTGAGCTGCAGTTAACTCACTTCATCTTGTTTTTGAACTGTAATTGAGTGTTGTAGGGATGAGCTTCATGTCGCTGTCTATTGGCAGATACCCAAGTTAGCATTCTTCCTGTGAGGTGTTAGTCTCACGTCTTAGCTAGCAGTAAGGAAGACAGACTGTAGTCGTCAGCCCTTGTCTCTTTGCTTCCTTTCATGCCCATTAATGACACAGAACAAATCAGTAGCATAAAACAGTGTCCTTTCTAGTTATATGATTCCCCACTGTGAACTGATAGAAAGCTCACTTCTAGTGACTGGGCCTAATGTTTCATTAACATGTTTTTTCCCTTAAGCAGCACTTTTAGTAATGTGGTGCAGTGTCAGAATTAAACCATTTTTAAGTCACACACACTTCAAAGCATACCATTTAGTAACAGTATTTAAAGAAATGGCTTACAATTTAGGGAAAGTATTTTCACTGTGGATGATGTTTTACATGTATTTACATGTTAGTGTTTTCCCTGCTTGTAGGTATGTGTACTAGGCACATGCCTGATGCCCAAGGAGATGAGAAGAGGGCATCTGATCTCTGGAACTGGAGTTCTGGGTGGTTGTGAGCCATCCTACGTGCTGGCAAGCCTGGGTCTTGTGTGTTTTATGCACATGCCACAGTGCACGTGCGGAGGTCACAGGACAACTTGTAGGAGTTGGTCCTCTCCTTCCACCATGAGTCCTAGGGATTAAACTCAGATTATTAGGTCTGGTGTTCAGTATTTCTACTTACTGATCATCCTTCCAGCCCTTGTGGAATATTTTAGTATCTTTATAGTCAGTGAAATAATGGCTCTTTCAAATAAACCAGTGCAGTAGGCATGCAATTTTAGTTTTAGATGTTACTCTCGGTCTTTTATGAAATATTTATGGTCTGTTTTTGGCAGTTAATGACCTCTGAACACTCCAGTGCTTGTGATGTCATTTTAGGTTTGTAGACATTTATCAAACACATGTTTAAAATATTTGGTTTTTGCTTTGACTTCTTTGTTCCATTGGTGTTCCTTGTGGATCTAGACGGTGAGTATTTATGATACCATATTACACTAGAGATCTTGCTTTTAAAGCTTTAAAAATATTTTTTTAAGTATAGGTTTTTATTTTTTTGGGTATGCTGCTGAAGGAAATTGTCATTTGTATTTTATACTTCCCTCTGGCAAGTATACTTTCATTGGCAAAAGGAAAAATTGAAGCATTTCTTTAATAATTATTTGCAAGTGTTGGAATTTTTTAAAGTCTTCCTAAGAAGACATCCTATCATTATCCTAAAGATTCAACACAACTAATGCTCAAAATTATATTACCCCAAGCTCTTTTGAAACTAGAAAATAATACATTGAAGAACTTCCCAGTTACTCATTTCATGTCAACTCCCACCATGTTCCCCTTTGAAGGACCAAGTGTCATATCTGCCCTTGTCATGTTCCTCATAAATAGACACATCGCTTCTAGCAGTACCACCAACTATGTGGGGCTGGAACAGAATCCATGTGTTTCTTTACTATCTGCCTGGGTGAAAGGCTTGATGGATTGCTCCCAATGTTCAGGCAGTGCCAATTAATCTGTAGTAAACAGCAAGGAGGCACACATTACCTAAGACACTGCAGAATTCCAGGTCTTAAGTCATGAGGGGCTCCGTGGTAATGGCATAGATGCTGTAGACACACTTGGCTTAGCAGTGCTGCAATGCTTATACTTGTTAGCCTGATTCTTAGTTTCGTACACTGCTTGCCTAGCACGCAAGGCCCTGAGTTCAGTCTCCAGAAGAGGTGTGGAAAATGTTCATAGTTTACTAGTATTGTTATGCATCTGATGGAGGAAATACACTTGATTCTTTTCTATATTAGCAATAGTTATTGGCACTGAAAGAAACCTTCATGAGTGAAGAGCTTTGTTTCCTTCTGAAATAAATGACAATAAAAACTGAAGTAAATATTACCATTCAATATTCACTATACCTTTATTGTAAGAACTTAATTATTGTAAGAATTTAATACCCTTTATTACATTTACTTTTTCTATGTGTGTGTGCGAGGGGGTTACTCATGTGGAGGCCAGAAAACACCTTGTAGTGTGGGTTCTTTCTGCCCTGTGGGTGCTGGAGATTGAATAGAGTTGTCAGGCATGCGGCAGTGTCTTTACCCTTCAGCCATCTCTCTGGTCTGGTCATTTGTTTTTGGATCTTCACATTCACCCAGGGAAGCCCCAGTTACTTTATTGAATGAGGTGTTTTCCACATAAGCACTGAAGGATGCCCAGAAGAGCTTGCTTTTGGATCTAGTCTCCCTGTGCTCAGACACACAAGTGAGGACAAAAGCTGTTAACTAACTTGAGTCTTTTCAAAGGCCATCCTCTTCACAGAGAAGAAAGGAAGTGCCTGAAGTCCAGCTTTGGGTTCTTCTCTGGTGCACTCTGACTAAGCAGTGCTTTTAGTTGAGAGAAGTGTTTCTTTCTTTTGCTGCTGTTCCTTGAGGAGCAAATGGGTGTTGACTGTCCAGATACAGGTGTTCTGAAACAAGAGAACAATTACTGTTAACACATCGCCAAGGACAAGTGTTCTTCTGCTGAGAGCACTGCTCGCAGAGTCTTCTACGCTAGAAGATCTACCATACTCTGCATAGCAGCTCTGTAAGGACATTGGCTGTCCTCAGCATGGTAATTCTCATCAGCCACCTCATGGAATATCAGATTCTGGCACCATTGAGGAGGTGCACTGGATGGTTCTAGAAGCGCCTATGATACCTGAAGGATAAACCTGGAGGTAAAGTTACCAGGCTGAGTTCTTTACACTTGACTCATTCATGGCAATCCTAAATGAGAACGTTAGGAACAACACATCTTTACAACTGAAGACCACTTCATCTTCTACAGTGAAAGGCTTTGGGGAGGAACCATCCCACCATGTCTTCCCCCTTAGAATGGCAGTGCCACAGGACAGGCGCCAGCCTGTTAGTTTATATTCTGGTGCTTTCAGGTAGTGCTAGGTGCATAGGACACATTCCACAAACATCCACTGAATAAGCTGTTCACCATCTAGTATGAGTTTTCATATGGGTGCTGGGGATCTGAACTCAGGTCTTCATGTTTACAAAGCAAGGACTACCAACTTAATGAACCGTTTCCCTAGTACCCCCAAATGCAACTAAATTGTTTTATTAAATACACTAAATTTTCATTTATCCACATCTGCACAAAAAGTGAAATAGTCTATTGAATTCTTACACCAAATATTGACAAAAATCATTAATATACATAAAACTAGACTTAACATTTTAACCCAGAAATAGTCTAGCCCTAGCTAGGTTTTGTTTATGCTCAAGACATTGATCACATTCAGTTTCTCTTGTAACAAAGCACTCTAAATTCTTCACACAGTATCCATGGGATTGAGTATTTAAATGTATAACTACCACAATGACAAAGGACTGAGGAGTCCTAAAATGAAAACTTGGCATCTCTGGCAAATCTCTGTTCAGTTAAATTTCAACAGGAATTTGTGACAGAGGAAAGGGTAACACCATTTGAAAACACGGTGTGCGGGCTTCAGGTTTGGTGGCACAGAGTAAGCTGAGGGCACAGTGCACAGGCAGGTGCAGGGCTGGGAAGCCATATCACATATTTGACCCACAACACAGAGTTGGGGTTAAAGGCTGCACGTTAGCCTGGTCTTCATCAGGAGATCACTGCCCTGACCCTCACAAAAGGTAACAAAGGACCTGACCCTCACAAAAGGTAACAAAGGACCTGACCCTCACAAAAGGTAACAAAGGACCTGACCCAGGACAACAGTGGCAGGAAAGGACAGGTAGAAACTTGCAACAAAGACTATACATACTGTAGAAGCTGCGGGCCCTCCTGCCATTGTAAGTGAGTTTGCATAGAAGGGCACTCTGTTCAGAGCTGAACAGGAGGAAGGGAAAACTTGGTAGTTGGCTGTGGTGGATATATTGCCAGGTGCTGGGAGGGACTGCATAGGAGCCATATGCACTGACTTAGGAGTTGAAGATTAGAAATATTAGATAACCAGGGACAGGGAAGAAAATGTGCCAAGGCCAGTACCACGTGGAGTACTGAGGAGTGCATAGTAAGCAGTATTTCATAGTCCACAGCAGCTAACAGATCAAGGTACCTGACGGTGAAGGAGGGGCTGGTGCCTTTGGAAGCAGACACATTATGACTTGGGTGTTTGGAGCCTGGAGTCTTTCTCTTTGGCGTTTGCAGGTTGGCTTTGTTGGTAGCAGTGGCAGCATTGCTCTTCAGTGCTGACAGGAAACTTCTACTCTTCCCATGGTGTTTTATTGTTCTGTTGCATGTTCTACAGGTAACCAGCTACCACAAAAAGAAGTTGGTCCCATGAGTTCTCTGGTAATGTAACTAAGTAAACCATGGGATCCCTCAAATTCTGTTAGTGTGACAGAGACAAGTTAGCACAGAGGCTGCCCCCTGGGAGCTTGCAGGAGGATCAGACAAGATAATCAGAATTGCCAATAAGAAGGTACTGGCTAAACATTTATATTTAAAGTCTTTAAAAATCCTACACAAGCCGGATGGATGGCAGTGGCGCACACCTTTAATCCCAGCATTCAGGAGGCAGATGCAGGCGGATCTCTGTGAGTTAGAGGCCAGCCTGGGCTACAGAGCGAGTTCCAAGATGGGCTCCAAAGCAATACAGAGAAACCCTGTCTCGAGAAAAAAACAAACAAAAATGGAATATGGAAAGTAGAAGAAATAGTCTTCCCTGGGGAAGAGCACACCAATCGACTAATACTAAATGGCCAGCCCTGAAAACATGTACACATAGTCTTACAGACTGAGCAGGTTCTATCTAGGAATGTGTAAATATACATCTGTGCATGTAACAAAGAAGAAGCCATGAATTTGAAAGAGCAAAGAGGGGTATATGGGAGGTAGGGAAGGGGACATGGTATAACCATATTATGATGTCAAAAAATAAAATCAAAAATACAAGGAACTGTGCTTCCTCAGTATGAAAGTGGTTTGTGTGGGAGCTGGGGAGATGAGATCAGACACTAACATTTGGATATACTTTGTAAGAGCGGTAGAGAGTGACTATTTTCTAGCTGGTATACTTAGGTTTTTTTTTTTCTAAAACATGGAAGATCCCTGACATTTTAAGTAGTGCTTTCAGATCCACAGTGATTCTATAAATGCTGGTGTGACTAATAAAACCTTTAAATTTCCACCATTACCGCTAGAAGTTAGCTCTCTTCATAGGGTTCAGATTTAATATTTATTTTTTAATGTATGGATGTTTGCCTGCACGAATATATGCGCACGATGTACATGACTAGTCCCCTTGAAGAGGCCAGAGGAGCGTATAGAAGTTTGTGTTAGTTAGGAATGTCTGTTGGGAACCAAACAAGCAGCAAATGCTTTTAGCTGCTGAGCCTTCTCTCTAGCCTCAGTAAGATGCATTGAAAGACAAATATAGTATGTAGTTACTCATAAGTGGATACCAGACACAAAGTAAAAGATACCCAGCCTATAAATCACAACCCCAGAAGTTAGAACCTTCCTCCAGAAACAGATGCAGAAATCCACAACTAACCAATGGGCTAAGCTCCTGGAGTACAATCGAAGTGAGGGAGGAGCGATAATATGAACAAAGGAGTCAAGACCATGATGGGGAAACTCACAGAATCAGCTGACCTGAGCTAGTGAGATCACTGACTCAGGTCTGACAAATGGGGAATCTACATAAGACCAAATTAGGCTCCTTCAATATAGGTGACAATGGTGCGGCTGGGACAATATATGAGGCCACTGGCAGTGGGTCCATGATCTAACTCTAATGCACAAACTGACTTAGGGGAGCCCATTCTATATGGAGAGATACCCTGCTCAGCCTAGACATGGGGGTGTGGGAGTGGGGAGGTGCTTGGTCCTGCCTCAACAAGCTGATAAGAAAGACTTAGTAGATTTCCTAGAGGAGGCCTTACTGTCACAGAAGCATTATGGGTGTTCTCTTGACAGACCAAAAGTACTACCATAATACTCTGCTGGCAGCAGTTTCCAACCTAAGGGAAAGAAGACAAAACGACAGCCCGTTTCTCAGTTCCAGAGCGGCAGCCTTACCAGCACACTTGTGGAGTCTTTGTACTTTCTCAACAGCTTTACTTCTTTGAAACTGAGTGTGTGACTTCTTGCTTCTCGATTAAGGAGTTTTTGTATCTTGGGTGTCAGTTTGGCCTTGGGTTTGAGGCGCACTCTAGAGTTATCCAGAACCAACAACTGGAAGCAGTATGGGCATGTTTCTTGAAAAGTGCTGTTTTCCTCTACAATTAGATAAATCAGATTCACAGGTCAGCAAGTCAGAATGTTCTCTTACTGATGGTATCAGCGGATACAGTCTCTTGAAGCAAACTCTAGCTCTGAAAAATTTTAAAGCAAACTGGCAATAATGTACTTTACAAAATTCTCTAATTCCCCCATTAGCAACACACAGGTGGCCTTTACCACTTTGCTCATTTGTTGCTTGGCTATAACATATTTACCACTTAAGCTGTACAGGGGTTTTTCTTCCCTCCCTCCCTCCCTTCTTCCCTCTCTCCTTTTCACAGTTAGTATAGCCAGTACTTTTTGGGTATTGTGAACAAAGGACAACCAGATGACATGCAACAGCAAAATGCTGGGCTAGGGGGAAGGGAATCAGAGGGTGGTCCGGTTATTTAATTAAAAAAGGGTGGCTAGGGAAGGCTTCATCAAATGACATTTGCAGAGAGACAAGACAGCAGGCTGTAAGAGTTCCAGGCATGATAAGGCATTTGGAAAAGCCTGGAACCATCAAAGTACACTGAGGTACAAGTAGATGATTCCTGGGAGAGGGGTGGAAACTACTGAAACATTCATCCATGTGGTACCATTGAGATGGCTCTGTGGGTCAAGGCACAGGTCCATCCCCAGGAACCCATTTAGTAGAAGGATAGAATCTATTCCCAAAAGCAGTTCTCTCTTGAGTGTACACACACACACACACACACACACACACACACACGCACGCACGCACGCACGCACGCACGCACGCACGCGCTAGAGAAATAGATGGCTCAGCAGTTAAGAACAGTGGCTGCTCATCCAGAGGGCCCAGGTTCGACTCCCAGCACTGTTAACTCCAGTTCCAGGGGGTTTATCACCCTCTTCTGGTCACCAGACTCTCAAGTAGTACAGACATGTGGGCAAAGTCTATACTTAATAGAGTAAAATGTTAAAATAAAAGCTCATCAAGGGACTGGGGAGACGGCTCAGGGGATAGGAGTATTTGCTGCTTTAGCAGAAGACTCAGGTTTAATTCCCAGCACCCACATGGCAGCTCACAACCGGTTGTAACTCGAGTTCCACATGGATCCGACGCTCTAGTCTAGCTTCTGTATTCAGGCAAAGCACAAAAGCACATTTTAAAGTAAAGACTGATCAATGTGTCAAATGCTAAGGGTTAAGACAATATTAAAGAATTTGGGTTTTTCATACAACTGGGAAGCCTAGGACTTTTTTTCTTTTCTTTCTTAAATGAGACAAGTCGGGCAGCCTTCTCTTTTGGGTCAGTGGAGCACTGGAATGGTGTAGAACTGGGCGACAAGGGCCGAAATCACCGCAGCCGGCGCTCTCCTACCGTGTGTCGAACTGTAGGCCCAGCTGCAAAAGAGAGCGAGGCGTGAGGCCGGGGCACCGTGGCCGCTCTCCCGCACCCCCACTCCCCCTCTGTCCCCTCCTACAGGAGGTAGCGGGCCTGGCCAGGGCAGCTTTCCACCAGGCCGCGAGCCGCCGCTTCAATGTAGTACTTCTGCCGCATAGCTAGCACGTCGGGCCGCCGAAACGCCGCCAAAGAGCTCCGTGCCGGAAGTCGACTATTTTAGTGTAACTACCGTGGGCCGCCGCACTCAAACTCCCTCCGGAAACTCGCATTCACGACTGAAAAGTTCCGGTCTGGAGCCCCTGTCATCTATCTGGCTTGTGATGTGGTCCCTCCCCTTAACATCCACAGCTAAATTCCTGTATTCGGAATGGGAACGGGCTCCCGAGCCCAAGGCTCCACCAATGTCACTGACTTCATCCGTATCTTGCTACTGTTAACCAGGTTTTCTGGGTAACAAGGTTAATCAGTTAACTATCATTCAGGTGTTTTTGTTTGTTTTGTTTTTTTTTTCTCTTAGTTTGCTTTCTTCTTTTAACAGATGTATTTATTATGTGTATGAGTGCTTGCTTGAATGTATGTTTGTGCATCACTTGCATTCAATACCTGGGGAAATCAGAAGAAGGTATCGATCCCTTGAACTGGGGTTATAGATATTTGAGAGCTGCCATGTGGATGCTGGGAAAGAAACCTAGGTCCTCTGTGAGAACAATTAATGCTCTTAAATGTAAGCCCACTAAGTACCCTAAATGGCTGAATGATATCTCCTGCCCTAGTTTAATCCACTCACATTTTAAAAAAATGAATGCACCTTACTTACATTTTATTTATTTTTCCAAGACAGGGGTTCTCTGCATTGCTTTGAAACCTGTCTTAGAACTAGCTCTGTAGACCAGAGCTGGCTTCGAACACACAGAGATCCACCTGCCTCTGCCTCCTGAGTGCTGAGATTAAAGGTGTGTGCCACCAACACCAGGCACATTTATTTATTTTTGAGGCAGAATCTTTTTGAGCTTTGAATGTCCTGGAATTCACTATGTAGACCAGGTTGGCCTCCAACTAACAGATTTGCTTGCCTCTGAGTGCCCGGATTAAAGGCATGCGCCACCATGCCATGCTGGCACACACATACTTTTAACTGAAATATATTACTTTTCCCCCTGAGACTGCGTTTCTCTGAAACAACTCTAGCTGACCTGGAACTGGCTCTATAGATCAGGCTGGTCTTGAACTCAACAGAGATCTGCCTGCCTCTGCCTTCTGAGTGCTGGGATTAACGGTGTGGGCCACCACTGCCCAGCTATATGATTTTATTAAATGTGAAATAGAACCAGGAAGTTAGCATGTTATGTTAAGGCCTTTTCCCATAGATCCTGGCCTTTTCCCACTTCAAATGGAATGGAAAACAATTTGTAATGAGCATGACTAAAAGGTGCTTTTCTTAACACACTAACATGTATAGGTTCACTCATTAATCCTCACAACAAACCCAGAACATAAATGGAATGCCACTTCATCGTAAAGAAATGCTTTTCCTTTCTTGAGATAGAGAGACATACCACGTAGTCCAGGGTAGCCTCAAACTCAGTCCGTTGCCCAAGCTGTCCTTGATCTTACCCTGCCTGTTGCATGAGCCTGAGTCCTGCGATGACAAGTGTGACCCACCACACCACATCTGTTTCTAGACTCTGATCTGTTTCACAAAGCAGAAAGAATGGAAATCCACACTTCCTCTACCTTCCACCTGCCTCTTTTCTCTCTGAGCACCGAGCTCCGGTATTCAGATGCCTACTCAGCAGCTCTGCTTGACTTGCTACCTGTCTTCACAGTGGCAAAGTTGTTCAAATAACTCCTGATTGTCCGTCCACACACCTGATTGCCCAGGAGCTCAGTATACTTCCCTCCTCGGATCCTGAGCCCTGCTCCTGATCCTCTTTCCAAGCCTGCCACCGCTCTGCGCTCAGGTCAACAGCTCTCTCCGGGAGCCGCAGACCATGACTTTGCACACCAGGCCCAGTTGTTTCCCCGAAGCCATTATCTCACATATTGTGAGTCCAGGAAGGGATAAAATCCAAAAGTCAAATATGGTTTCTCCAGAAATGCCCTTGGTTCTCTGGTCAAAAATGCCAGAAGAGAGGTCTAGATTTTTTGCTTTGATGTTTTTGGTTTTGTTTTGTTTTTTGAGACAGGATTTCTCAGTGTAGCCCTCCCTGAATGTTTTGGAACATGCTTTGTAGAGCAGCAGCTCACAACATCTGTAATTCCAGGTCCAGAGGATCTGATGTCCTCTCTCCTTGGGCACCAGGCACACAGGTAACGCCCAGACAAACATGTAGGCAAACACACCCCTACACATAAAAATAAATAAATAAATAAATAAAGCTTTAAAATAAAATAAGGTGGAGAGACTCTAAAACGTAAAATGAGTTGCATTTTCTCAATGTGGCATATAAGACAAAACACGGTACAGTAAAATTAACTGCTTAAAAGTCGTGCGCTTTTCAAAGCCTATTTTGGAGGGAAGACCCCCCCAACCAAACCTTTCTGCATTTCTTCGCTCACTTGCAGTTCTTGACAGTCACCAGCAGAGGGAAAAGTAGTTTTGTTTCGCGTGGATCCCCGAGCGGCGCAAATTCTCTCACTAAAGAGAAGCAACCGAGAGCGCCAGGGAGGTAAACCCCGGTCTATGGGCGGTTAAGCTGGCCTTGATGAGTCGCTCGGGCCTCGCAGGCTCCTCCAGGTCGATGCACAGACTCTCAGTGGCGCCCCTCAAAGGACCTAAGAGGGATAACTTGGTTGGGTCGCCCTGATGACCGCCCGGTCCCGGACTCCTTCGCTGCCGCCTCGAAAAGCATTCTCTCGAGCCGGCGGACCCGGGAGGCGAGTCCGAATGCAACCCGGGGAGCTCAAGCCCGGGTACTAGTGCACTGCCGGGAAACCGAGCCCAGGTCCTAGTGCAGTACTGGGGAACCGAGCCCGGGTCCTGGTGCAGTACTGGGGAACGAAGCCCGGATCCTAGTGCACTGCTGGGGAACCGAGCCCGGGTCCTAGTGCAGTCCTGGGAGCCCGAGTTCCACGAACCAGGTAAGCATCCTCTGGGGTCCCACCGGGATCCTGGCGAGAATCCTCCGTGGTTTGAGCGCGATCCCGGCGAGCCCGCGCTAGCTTCACCGTTCATCCCCGAATCCCAGTCCATGTACCCTCAAGTCGTGACCAGGGCCGGGCGGAGGACTCGGGCAGTCCGAGTGCTGAAGGGTCCGGGCTGCAGCCCTGGGCACAGATCACGAAAACGTCCTTCTACCAAGGGGCTGCGGAATAAACGGTAAAAATAGTCACGCTAGAAAACGGCCCAGTGGGGAGTCTGCTGGGGAGAGGCTATTTATTAGAACGGGCGTGAAGAATTACGTCGAGGACCTCGGCTGGACTGTGGTGAGCAGTGCAGAGCCTGGGTCAGGGAGCTACGGAAAGGGAGACACAGGGCCGCCCCAGGGACGTTTCCAGCACAGTGGACAAGAGCAGAAACGGACGGATGGATTGCACATGGGAAGAAAACATGCAGCGCGGTGGGAGGTTAGACCAGGAAACAGCCCGAGAGCAGACGGCTAGATCCGAGGCTCCGCAGGCGCGGGCCGGGAGAGCAGGAGTCCGCGCTCCTTGCGAGTCCACCTGTTAACGCCGACTCTGTCAGCCGGTCACCCAGCCAGGGGGGGAAGCCCGGCGCGCAGGCAACAGGTTTGCTCCGGGCGGGATAGCAAGGGAGGACGCGAAGCCCTACGGGATGTGGAGGCCGGCTGCCAGGTGCTGTGTTTTTCACAGCAACAAAAAAACCATTAGTGTTAAAAATTAGGCTTCAGGACCCCAAGATCTTGCCAAAACAGCGCAATGAATAATTTGTTTACTCGAAGTCTCAATAATGTGTGCGGCAGCCGTACCTCTTTAATTATATTTAAATATATTCAGAAAGGACCCATTTGTTTTTAGATAGCTAACTGCTCTTAGAAAATAGATGGGGGCAATAAAATATTTCAATAACTTGAAATATATGCAAAAGTTTTGCCAACCTTTACAAGAAAACGAGTGAAATAATAGCGGAGCCAATTTCAGCTACCACAAAAGAAATCTGCTCTGCTGGGCAGCCACCCTTCCCCCAGTGCCGCTACTTGTGGGTGGGGGGTCTTGGCAGATCCCTCGGTGTGCCCCGCTCTGCAATCCCCAGCTTGTTTCTTCCCTTGCTTGACTTGGCAGTTGTGGGGTCCCCAGGGCACACCTGTTCTTGCTTCAAATATTTGCCTGTTGTGTGAATTCGGAAGGCGAAGTCAAGTTACTCAGATGGTGGCAGCAGAGCTCGGTGATGGGAGGGGGTTGTTGACAGTGAGAAAGCTGTGGGAGGCGGGTGTGGGTTTGATTACCCGGGGTGAACTTACTCTTTCCCCCTAAGTGCCATGCAGGAGCTGCTTCCACAAGATGCTTGAAGGGCTAGAAGGGAGTCTCCTCAAGCAGCATGTATACGAAAGAAAAGGCGCTGCTTTGCATCTTCTATAGCCTTAGAGTTCCCCAAACCTCAGTACCAAACCGTTGACTTGGAATGTGTTTTAGTGTAATGAATTACAGGATTATAGCTAATATAATGTGGCCCAGGCTAGCCTTGAACTTGCTAAGTAGCTGAGGATGACCTTGTACTTAACTGTGAGTGTGTGTGTGATGCCTGTGTGTACATGTGTACATCTGCACATCTGCAGGCCAGAGGCTGAGGTCAGAACGTCTTCCTAAATCACTCCCCCTTATTTTATTGTAAAGATGATTTCTTATGTGTAGGGGTGTTTTGGCTACATGTTTTGTCTGCACTACATGCATGTTGTCTGTGCAATACATGCACGACTGGTGCCCAAAGAGTTCAAAACAGGACATTGGGTCCCCTGGACCCGGAGTTACAGATGGTTGTGAGCTGCTGCTGGAGCGTCAAAGCTGGGTCCTTTGAAAGATGGCTGGGGGCTCTTAACCACTAAGTCATCTCTCACTTATTGTTTCATCTCGGCCAGGCTGGTCAGCAAGTCTTGGACCACACTCAACATTTTTGGTCCATGCCACAGCACTCAATTTTTTGTGGGTGCTGGAGATCCAAACTCAGATCCCCATGTTTGCACAACAGTTGCTCTTAACGACTCAGCTGTCCCTCCAGCTCATCTTGTTTTGGGAACAGGGTCTCTTGTAGCTCTGGCGAGGCCTCACATTCTGTCTGTTGCTGA